TTTTGGTAATTAAAGGTAGTAAAGAACATAAGAGAAGTCCAGTCCAACACTCTGTGTCGCACAGTGGTCCAAACCCAGGTAGGGTAGCTGTGTTGGTCTGCAGTATTACAGATTATAGTTCAGTAGCACTGTAAAGGTAAAGGTTCCCTTGCTCGAAAGCCAGTCGAATCCGACTCTAGGGTTGCGGTGCTCATCTCCGTTTCAAAGCCGAAGAGCCAGCGCTGTCTGAAGACGTTTCCGTGGTCATGTGTCCGGCATGACTAGTTCCAAGGCACACGGAACGCTGTTAACTTCCCACCGAATTCTGCTTCTTATAACAGCCAAGTAATCTGATGCGTCATTCTATTATTATGACTCTTCACATTATGAAACAACATGAGCACCCAAACTGCCTACGGGAGATTGGATATATTTAATATAAATTTGGTACGTTTAATATAAATTTGGCTATTTGCCAAAAAAAATCTGATTTTATTTTCATTTTTAATGTAAAATTGGTTATTTGCCCAAGAATCCAGTTGAGTCAGTTTTTCCCGTTTCCGTTTTTTGCTGCCGTTCAAATATTTTTCTAATATTTTCCTTATATATATATTTATCCGGTTTTACTTTCATTTTTAATATTAATCCTTTTTTAAAAAGTCATATGCTTGGTTTTTGAGGAATGACTGCCTTCCCACCCACCTCTCAGGGTGTCTGTTGTGGGGAAGGGAAGGGAAAGGAGTTTGTAAGCCGCCCTGAGACTCCCAAGTGAAGGGTGGGGTATAAATCCAATCTCTTCTTCTTCTTCTCTTCTTCCCCAGGGAAAGGGCTGTGGTTCAGTGCTAGAGCATCTGCTTGGCATGCAGAAGGTCCCAGGTTCCATCTCTGGAATCTTCAGGGAAAAGGCCAGTAGGTGACATGAAAGATATACGGTTGCCAATGCTCAGGTTCCAGTGAGGGTTCCCCCGTTTTTGGCGGCTTCAGTCCGCTGCTGGCCAGCTGGCTGGCTGGCGGGGAAACCCCACCCCCAAATGGGGGGTGATGATGTCACTTCCAGGTGAATGTCATTGTGCTGGGAACATCGCACAGCAACGCTCTGGGGCGGGATATTGATGTTCCTGAAGGTATGTGCTTATAGTTTGGGGACATGCTGCTGTGTTAACCGGTTCTAATCACTTAAGCTAGGAATATGTTAGGAGAAAGCAGGCCTTTCAGATCTGACCAACTTCCTGCATTTGTTGGTTTGTGTAGAGTGGGTTGTCAGGGCACGGAGCCTGTAAATGTTTGCGTTTGAAGGCTGTGCCAACCGGGAGACTGGCTTAACGGTATTACAAAGCCTGTGTGTGTGTGGTGGATTCTCAGAAGGCACCCGGGATGGCTTTGTGGCCGTGTCTCGCTTTGGCCTCATTCTTACAAACAGCTGAGGAGGTGGTAAACGGACTGAAGTGCTCAGCAGCACTCCAGAAGAGTTGGGGAGAGGCTCAGAGGATTAAATTCTCCTCCATACCCAACCTGGCTCATTGCAAACTATTTATATGATTGTTTCTCTCCTGCTTTTCTCCCTTAAGGGGACCTAAAGAAGTTTACAATACAGAAAGGCAGAGACAAACAGGAGTATGGGGGGTATTTGAGTGAAGAAGATGAAGAGATTGGATTTATACCCCACCCTTCACTACCCAAAGGAGTCTCAGAGCGGCTCACAATCTCCTTTCCCTCCCCCTCCCCACAACAGACACCCTGTGAGGTAGTTGGGGCTGAGAGAGCTCTCCTGAGAACTGCTCTTGAGAGAACAGCTCTGAGAGAACTTGTGACTGACCCAAGGTCACACCAGCAGCTGCATGTGGAGGCGTAGGGAAGAAGAACAGAGGAGTGAAGAACATGTTTCTCCGCCTTTCCCTCCCCTGCCAGGTCTTTCCTCCTACCCTAGGCTAGAGCCCATTGACTCCTGCCTCTGGGTCTGCCCAGGCCTTAACTACCTGTGAGAAGAGGAGAAACAACCTCAGCCAGATCTCATTCAGCGGCCGCTAGCTAGCTAGGATGGTCTTTCCCCCTGTTTCTTACCCTGCTAGATGACAAGGAGCCTGCTTCTACCCTAGCCTTTCTCTCTGACATGTCTCTTACACTGTAAGGTGGGGAGGGAGGGTGCATGTTCAATTGTGAGACACCGTTTAAGTCAGGGGTCCCCATTGTGGTGTGCCTGTGGGTGCATTTGCCCACAAGGTTTCTGATTGGCCACTGGAGGTTTGGCCGGCTGTGCCGATTTTTAAAAAAGGTCGCTTTGGCAGCCGCTGCTATCACAATGCCAAGATTGTCACTGTGTGACTGAAGGTAAGCTGCGGCGGCCATTTTAAGTCCTGGTTCCGCCTCCTGTGGCAGCGCTTCAGTGGCAGCCATTTTGTAGCTGCACCCACTGCGTTTTGTCAGACTTCCATAAGTGCCCACTGGCTCAAAAAGACTGGGGATACGTGGTTTAAGCAGTCCAGTCCAGGCACTGTTTTTTCCGCCTCATGGTCTGTCTGTGAGAAGTAGGCCTCGGCAGTCCTATGCAGAGAGACGCCAAGCTAGGGTTGCCAGGTCTGGGTTGGGAAATACCTGGAGATTTTGGGGGTGGAGCCTGAGGAGGTGAGGTTTGGGGAAGGGAGAGACTCCGATGTGGGACAGTGCCATAGACTTCACTTTCCAAAATGGCCATTTTCTCCAGCTAACTATTGGTGTAGTGGTTAGGTGCACGGACTCTAATCTGGGAGAACCAGGTTTGATTTCCCACTCTTCCACATGCAGCTGCTGGTGTGACCTTGGACTAGTTACAAGTTCTCTCAGAGCTGTTCTCTCAAGGGCAGTTCTCGAGAGAGAGCTCTCTCAGCCCCACCTATCTCACAGGGTGTCTGTTGTGGGGAGGGGAAGGGAAAGGAGATTGTAAGCCGCTCTGAGACTCCTTGAGGTAGTGAAGGGCAGGGTGTAAATCCAATCTCTTTTTCTCTTCTTCTTTCTCTGTCACCTGGAGATCAGTTGTAATAGTGGGAGACCTCCAGCCACTATCTGGAGGTTGGGGACCCTCCTCCAAGATGAGTCCATGGACTTCACTCTGAGTGCGCTACTGACAGCAGGCATTTCGAATGTGTATTTTGTGGGACCTCAACGCATGTCAGGCCCAAAATGTGAAAATGTGCTCTGTTTGTTTGGGTCGCGCTGAGTTCAGGAACCCGACTTCAAGGAAGCCAGCTAAGCAGAACCCGCCTGTGCCAACTTCTGGCGACACACCCTACCTCATAAAAATATTTTGAGACTGTTGGCTTTAACATATGCTCGGGGGCACATGGAGAGCCAAAATGGGTGTCTGTCTGCATATATTTGTTTGTGTGTTTCTTCCTGTAAGCAGGGGATAATGGTAGGTGTCTGTTCTGTACTAAAAAGAATGTGGGCAATAAGAGCTGAATTCTGCCTGGCCTTGCAGTTCTGTTATCTGAAGCATTTTCTTTCCCATCTAGTTCACTTACAGTATCGGAACTAGGCTGGGAGGGAAAACGCTTCAAGAAACGGGAGCAGAGTGAAGTAAGGATGAGTTTATCTCCCTTTACTCACACATTCCTTTTAAACAAAAAAACACAAAGAGACTTGCACGCAGTGTTCCCTCTAAGCTGAGTTAGTGTGAGCTAGCTCACATTTTTTTAGCCTCCAGCTCACACATTTTTGTCTCAGCTCAGGAAGGAGGGCTCCAGAGCAAACTAGGTTATGCAGTAGCCAAATCACTTGCTCACAACTTTAATGCTAGTAGCTCAGAAAGTAGAATTTTTGCTCACAAGACTCCACAGCTTAGAGGGAACATTGCTTGCACCCATTCTCCGTTCCACAGGCATGTGAATAAAATCTCATGGGTGCCTCTGGCAACTGGGGTTCTTGGATATCATAAAGGATGCATTTCCCCCCTGCAGTCTCTTGCACTAAAATATTCCAAAATAAGCTCCTACTAGAATTGCGAAGTCTGGTTTTAAGGAAGGCAAGTACAGAGGGCCTTTTCAACGGCAGCCCCCCAATTATGGAATAACCTCCCTGGGGGAGGTGTGCTTGGCCTAGGGTTGCCAACCCCCCAGGTGGTGCCTGGAGATCTCCCGGGATTACAACTGATCTCCAGGAGGCAGAGATCAGATCACCTGGCGAAAATGGCTGCTTTGGAAGGCGGACTCTGTGGCATTATACCCCACTGAAGTCCCTCCCCCAACCAAACCACGCCCTCCTCCGGCTCCACCCCCAAATCTCCAGGTATTTTCCAATCCAGAACTGACAACCCTATCTGCTTGGCCCCTTCGCTGTCAGCCTTTAGGAGGCAGCTGAAGATGGTTTTATTCATAGTGGTATTTGATTGGTATTAGTTTTCCTGCCTGCCGGCACTTTTAAAGTGTCCATTTTAATGTGTTGTTTTCATGCATTTTTTGTATTTCATTGTGATCACATTGTAAGCTGGTTTGAGTTCCTGTAAGGTAGAAGGGTGGACAACGACTGTTTTATTTAAATAAAGTAACAAAAATAACAAGGTAGGAGGAACCAGGACTGGTGCAGAATTTTTGCTCAGCCCTGCAGAGGTATTGTACAGTCTCTTTGGGCAGAAAGGCCGACTCAGAAATACTGCAATGAAAGAAACCTTGGGAGGTTGGGAGGCACGGTGGCTCAGTGGAAGAACCTCTGCTTGACATGCAGAAGGTCCCAGGTTCAATCCCCGGCCTTTCTATTTAAAAGGACCAGACAGACCTCTCTGACTGAGACCCTGGAGAGCCCTTTGCCAGTCTGAGCTGATAGTAGCTGACCCTGATGGACCGAGGGTCTGATTCAGTATAAGGCAGCTTCATGTATTCATGTGTGTTCAAACTGGGTGCATGGAATGGGACAACGGGTACTGTACCTGTCCAGCAAGCTACACCTTTTCCTTTGTATCAAGGGGGCACCAATGTGTGCCGTTGCGGTTACAAAGGTGAGTGTTACCCTGTGGGTCTGAAAGTTCTGTGTTTTTTCTCTTTTGTTCCCAGTCTCGCAGCGTGGATAAGCAGCATGCAGTCATCAACTACGACAAGGAGAAAGATGAGCATTGGGTCAAAGATCTGGGAAGCTTAAATGGGGTAAGTAGGGGACCTGCTGCCCCTAAATGCATTTTCTGTGCTGTTTTTCTTCCCTGCTGTTGTTGGGTTGCGCATTTTTTTTTCTTGAATTTTCTTGAATTGCCAATGGCACATTTTTTTTCTTGAATTTTCTTGAATTGCCAGCGCTGTTGGGAGGGGATGACAGAACCCAACAGAGCCCCTTCATGCTTTCCCATGATGGGAGTGAATTGTGGCACTGGATTTTTATTTTTCATATAGTTACGACACTGGTTCAGCCTAGGGTTGCCATCCTTCAGGTGGTGCCTGGAGTTCTCGTGGAATTACAAGTGATCCCCAAACCACAGAGATCAGTTTCCCCTGGAGGAAACGGCAGCTTTGGAGGGTGGACTGTATGGCATCACATCTCCACTGAGCTCCCTTTCCAGGCTAGGGTTGCCAGGTCCTTACCTTCTGCCGGCGGGGGGCTCCAGCCTGCTTCCCTGGATCGTCTGGTCACCATAGAGTTTTTAGCCAAATGCCAGTAAACTCCCGCTTCGGAGGCCCGATTTCTGCCACTACGGAATCGGGCCCCGGGGGGAACTCTGCCCTCGGGGGGAACTCTGCCCTCTGAAGCGCAGCGTGGCTGCGTCACCGGAGGTGATGCAACCACATCAATCACGTTGGGGGCGTGGCCCTGATCGTCGGAGGGAAAACTCTATGGTTTTCCCTCCGACGATCGTGGCCACGCCTTCAGCGTGATCGACGTTGTGCGTCTTTTCCGTAGTGACATGCTGGCGGCGCGTGCACACTTCGCGTTTCGCGCACGCATTGAAGACCAGCTCCCGGAGCCCGGCGAGGCTCCCCTGCCGATAGGATATTTTCACTTGGCAACCCTAGTCACCATAGAGTTTTTAGCCAAATGCTAGAGCACCCCCCACGTGACGTGCCTGGTGTCATTGTGCTGGGCACGTCAGGCATGGCAGGGCTCTTTGGGGGCGGGGCTCCCTTTGCCTGGCAGGTGGCAGATTGGGGCCCCCAAAATCAGGGAAAACCTCGCCCCATTGGGGGTTTGGTAACTCTATCCCAGGCATCACCCCCAAATCTCCAGCAACCCTCATTTAAATGCTATTTACCCATAACTGTGATTTGATTTTGTTTTGCAGTTCTGGGTTTTTAAGTCACAGCTTGGTATAGTTGAATATTTTATATTGCTTCTAATTTTGGCAGATAGGAAGGGAAACAGGTAATTGATGACAAGGAATAACTTCCAGGGGGATTCATTGGGGGGGGGTTCCGTTGCATCCAAAGTTTTGTTGCTATTATTGCAATTATTATTATTGTATGCCACTGTGTGTAGAATAACCAGGAGATCCTAAAATTGTCTGGCAGGTGAAAGTTCTAGCTCTTTTAGCGTTATGCACCAGTCAGTGGCGAGCTAGACTTGCTTTTAAGGCAAGTGACGTTTCAGAGGTGGTTTGCCATTGCCTGCCTCTATGTTACAGCCCTGATATTCCTTGGAGGTTGTTGCCATTCCAAATTCTAGCCAAGGCTGACTCTGCTTAGCTTCTGAGATCTGATGAAATTGGGCTAGCGTGGGCTATCCACATCAGGGCAGTTTTGTTGCTGAATTGATAAGTGCAGGTTCTAAAGACGAAGAGCCATTCCCAGGACACACCAGCTTTTAAATTAGCTTCCCTGGCCCTTTCCCCTGGTGGAATCCACTGCGTGGAGATCTTGCGGCTATTTATAGGGCATCCGCCACACACTTCTTCACAGGAAGGAGGAGTTGGTTGGTGGCTGATAAGAATTGTGACTTTTCTCGGCCCAGAACTGGTTGCTCCTGATGAAGGGCTCGTGGACTTGAAATACGAGTATTTCGTAGCAGGAGGAGGGCAGATGCCCGCGGAATCGTTGACTCACTCTGAAGTGAGTGTGCAAAGTGCACGGGAGAGGCCCGTTTTGGTTTGAAATCTGCTGAGTGTGTGTGACCCTTGGACTTTCTCTGTCTCCTGTCAGCCTCATCCTAGTCTCAGGTATTTTCAGGTCCAAGGAGTGGCAAAAGATACTGATGATCTTCAGCGTGTATCTAGCACAGGGGTGCCATGGTACCTGCCAACACCTTTTCTGATGCCCACCAGGTGTTTTAGAAAGTGATTCAGCATGAGAAACGCAGCAGGCACTTATATTTTCCACACATCCTGTTAAATAGAGCTTGTCCCTAAAGTGTTGAAGAGTTACTATGCATAACATCACTCCATGACACGTTGTGGTTGGTTCCACCTCCTGCGGCAGCCATTTTGTTGTTACATCCACCATGCGGTGTCAAAATTCCAAAGGTGACGGGAGGCTCAAGGAGGTTGGAGACCCTGCATCTAGTGCTTCTGGTTCAGAGTTCTTCTTGTGGGCACTCAGTGAAATTAATGAGCAGTAAACTTAGAACAGATAAAAGGAAGTACTTCTTCACCCAAAGAGTGATTCCCACGTGGAATTCAGTGCCACAGGAAGTGGTGGTGGCTACAAGCATAGGCAGCTTCAAGAGGGGATTGGATAAACATATGGAGCAGAGGTCCATCAGTGGCTATTACCCACAAGGTCTAGATAGGAACCCTCGGTATGGGGCAAGTGATGCTCTGCATTCTTGGTGCTTGGGGGGCAACAGTGGAAGGGCTTCTGGAGTTCTGGCCCTGTTGGTGGACCTCCTGATGGCACCTGGGTTTCGGCCACTATGTGACACAGAGGGTTGGACTGGATGGGCCAACAACCTTCACTCTTTGGGTGAAGAACGACTTACTTTTATCTGTTCTAACCCTACTGCGCGTTAACAAGCAGGGTTGCCAGCTCTGGGCTGGAAAATTCCTGGAGATTTTGGGAGTTGGAATCTGGGGAAGGTAAAGTTTAGGGAGAGGAGGGACTGCAGCAAGAATTAATGCCATGGAGTCCACCTTCCATAGAGCCAGTTTGGTGTAGTGGTTAAGTGCGCGGACTCTAATCTGGGAGAACCGGGTTTGATTCCCCGCTCCTCCACTTGCACCTGCTGGATGACCTTGGGCAAGCCATAGTTCTGGCACAGCTGTTCTTGAAA